ATGAGATCTTTTTAAAAAAAATTCTAATATATATATATATATATATATATAATATACATACATACATGTACATATATAGCCTATCAGAGGTTGCGTTAGACTTTAACAAGGGTCGTAAAAATTCCATCATAATCGTTTACCCGTCATTTTAATTTTCATATTTTAATTATAATAACACATTTAATTGCTTGTATTTTTGTTCATATTTTCATTTTTAATAATGAACCTACAGGATGAGGATATAGGCTTATGCATTTATTTATTTATGATGAGAACCGATGAACAGAGACTGTGCGTCCATTTTCATGTTCAACACCAAACCCCGCAGTGACAGCAGAGCCACTAAATACAACAAAACATGCTATGGCTGGTTAAAATAGGCTATGCTTTGTGTGTTGTTACTTTTGATATGAAACAAAGTCTCAGATTTCAAATTCTGTCCATTTTATTAGGAAATTCGAGCAATAAATACCGTTTTGGCACTCTTTAATGTGGCATGATAGATGGCTGTAGACACCTCAGATCAAGCGAAGCAGCAGCGCACGTGAACTGATCATCTCTTTCGCTGTACTAGTGTGTACTCACCTGCAGTGTTGGGGAAAGTTACTTTTAAAAGTAATGCATTACAATATTGCGTTACTCCCTAAAAAAGTAACTAATTACGTTACTTAGTTACTTTTTATGGAAAGTAATGCGTTATATTACTTTTGCGTTACTTTTTAAATATAAGCAGGGCTTGATTGTTTTTAATATAAGAAGTTCTATTTATAGCAAATATAAAAGCCCTTTCACACCAAAAAGTGTAATGAATAAACCTCAGGCTGAAGCAAAAGTAAATTCACGTCTGTACCGTAGAACGCAGGAGAAGAAACACTCTTCAGCAATAAAAAAAAACAATGAAGCACAATTGCTTATTAGTATGGTTGCACTGGATCATCAAAGGTCAGCAGCAAAGATATTGGTTAATAAAATGGGATTAGATACATTTGTGTTATTTAACATATTTAATTATTGCAGGTTTGCGTCATATTCTGAGTTTGCATTTCACTGTTTTAATTCATTTTGATGAATACTAAATCTGTGTGTTGTGAGTGGGATGAATTAATGCACATTCACATTTAGTCTGGAACTACAGTAACATCATGTTCACACAGCGCACACAACGCCTCTGTACTCCCGATTTCTCCCAATATGGGGACAGGAGACTTGTCCGTCAATAAATGGGAAAACAAAGTAACTGGCATTGCTTTTTTGAAAAAGTAACCCCGATATTTTCTTGTAAATTAAAAAAGTAATGCGTTACTTTACTAGTTACTTGAAAAAAGTAATCTGATTACGTAACTCGCATTACTTGTAATGAGTTACCCCCAACACTGTATTTAGAGCCACAAATAATCAATGTTTAACACATACAGTATTTATAAAAATATATTTTTATTATTAGTCTGCTGATGATAAAAATAAAATTCCTAAGCTAAATTTTGTCTCTCATTAACATTATATTTAAATGCGATTTAAATAATCCCATGGATCTTTTTTGAACCTAAATCCCACAACTATTCACTAGATGTCAGTCATGGTTTTCTTTCAGTGTTATTCAAGTATCACTGAGATACTATTATACTTTTTTATTAATTTTCTAAATTGCATTTTATTGTTATATTTTCAGTTTTTATTTTCATTTGAAAGTTTTGTTAATTTTGTTTTGTTCGTTTTTTTATTATATGTCTATATAGTTTGAATTAATTTTTATTTCAGTTTTAGTTAAACTAAATAAAAGTTCCGTTTTTTTTTTTTTTTTTTACAAATTTTATTTCAAGTAAAAAAAAGTTTTTTAAGATTTTAGCATACTATAAAAAGCCTGTTTCCTTCTGCAAAATAATTTCCTTAATAAGACTGTCAGATTCTCTCCTGATCACGGTGGCAGCGATGGCCGTCTACACCGGTTATGTGTTCATGCCTCAGCACATAATGGCCATATTACACTATTTTGAAGTGGTCCAGTGACGTCATCAGCCGAGACCTTCGGGATGCTCGCGACCTCCACCTGGTGGCCGGGAAAATGAACTGCTTTAGAACTGTTCACTACGATGTCTGTGATTTACTTCAAACGAGGACACTTGTGTATGTTGGAGACCAGCGTTGAGGAGTGTTATTAAGGCCTGGCTAATTATGTGTGAAGAGCACAGTGTGCGACTGCAAAAGCACATACTGCCCTTGCTAGAAATATATCATTTTATGACTTTTTTGTTTTTTAAATAATGCTTCTTGTTTAGTTTCATGACAGTGGTTTATTCAGATGATAAATATTTTTTTGATATAAATGTGTATATTTAATTGTATACATTTGTAAAGTTTTATAGAGATTTATTTTGGCTGACCTGAAATGATTTGGTTTGCCATAGTGGACTGATGAATTATTGATACTGTTTCTGTCACCACCGGAAATCTATTTTTATCAGACCCTTGTGAGTCATATAGTAAATAATTATCTGCGCTTATGTGATTGTTGATAATTCCGAGCTGGTTGCTCAGGTTGTAAACTGGAAAAAAAAACGAAAAAAAAAAAACGCTTAAACTCTTTCTTTAATTGTTTGATATGACTGAGGCATTTAATCAGCACATGCTCAGTAAAATTGTCTATTTTACTTTGTGTGAAAGTTTTTCATTTGAAAGTTTTGTTAATTTTGTTTTGTTCGTTTTTTTATTATATGTCTATATAGTTTGAATTAATTTTTATTTCAGTTTTAGTTAAACTAAATAAAAGTTCCGTTTTTTTTTTTTTTTTTTACAAATTTTATTTCAAGTAAAAAAAAGTTTTTTAAGATTTTAGCATACTATAAAAAGCCTGTTTCCTTCTGCAAAATAATTTCCTTAATAAGACTGTCAGATTCTCTCCTGATCACGGTGGCAGCGATGGCCGTCTACACCGGTTATGTGTTCATGCCTCAGCACATAATGGCCATATTACACTATTTTGAAGTGGTCCAGTGACGTCATCAGCCGAGACCTTCGGGATGCTCGCGACCTCCACCTGGTGGCCGGGAAAATGAACTGCTTTAGAACTGTTCACTACGATGTCTGTGATTTACTTCAAACGAGGACACTTGTGTATGTTGGAGACCAGCGTTGAGGAGTGTTATTAAGGCCTGGCTAATTATGTGTGAAGAGCACAGTGTGCGACTGAAAAAGCACATACTGCCCTTGCTAGAAATATATCATTTTATGACTTTTTTGTTTTTTAAATAATGCTTCTTGTTTAGTTTCATGACAGTGGTTTATTCAGATGATAAATATTTTTTTGATATAAATGTGTATATTTAATTGTATACATTTGTAAAGTTTTATAGAGATTTATTTTGGCTGACCTGAAATGATTTGGTTTGCCATAGTGGACTGATGAATTATTGATACTGTTTCTGTCACCACCGGAAATCTATTTTTATTAGACCCTTGTGAGTCATGCAGTAAATAATTACCTGCGCTTATGTGATTGTTGATAATTCAGAGCTGGTTGCTCAGGTTGTAAACTGGAGAAAAACAAACAAAAAAACCCGCTTAAACTCTTTCTTTAATTGTTTGATATGACTGAGGCATTTAATCAGCACACGCTCAGTAAAATTGTCTATTTTACTTTGTGTGAAAGTAAAACATATTTTGAGGTATGAAACTTTTTTTTTAATCTAAAGTTTTGATGCATTTGACTGTAAATGTGTATGTATTTCATCAGTAGGTAAAAATTAACATGAATAACAGATGCTATTATCTGGTCATTAGTTATGAAATAGAAACTGTATCCCTGAATTAAAAGATTAAATCTTGAAGATATTTAATATTTTGTTGCTATACATTATTAGCTGATCAACATGGTTGTGTAATAAAGATTTAATCCATTTCAAATGATAAATATATGTCCCCTTTGTGCTTTAAATATAATTCTGAACTAAAATATTTTAAGAAATAACTTACTGTATATATATATATATATATACACACACATACATACATACAGTGGGTATAGAAAAGAATCACCACCTTTAAAATAATCACATTTTGTTGCTTTGCAGCCTGAAATGAACACAGTTTTTGTTTTATCCAGCTGTATTTACTGCAACTTATATATAATATCCAAATGAAAGATATAACACCAACATGTCAGAAAAAAATAAAATAAATAAAAACAATCACTGAGTTGGAAAAAGGAGCACCCCCTTGTGTCAGTATTTTGTTGAACCACCTTTTGCTTTAATTACAGCCTTTAGTCTGTTGTGGTTTGTCAAAGCTCTTTTCATGCTGAGCTAATCAAAATGTAATACAGTAATATGGTTACTGTAACTTCAAAATTAAAACAGAAACTATAGAAATAAAATCCAATCTAAAATATTAATAAAACTAAAATTGTATGTCATTGATACTACAATAACTGAAAGGAAACAATGACTGATAACTGGTATACTGAAGTGTTACATGGGGCAATTTAACACTATTGATTAAATTAATATTAAATATTAATACATGACTGATAACTAGTATACTGACATGTTACTGGGGCCATTTTAACACGATTAATTAAATTAATATTAAATATTAATATAAAAAATCTCAAATTTTTTTGTCAAGGACTACTGGCACATAAAAATTTCACTGTAAAAAATGTTATATGTTATCTACTTAAATTATGGTAACAATATTACACTTAATATTTTTGAGTAGTTTTTAAGGCTTGATTATTTAATGGATTCTGCCTGAATAAATCATGTAAAATCTCCTAAATTATTTAATCTGTGACACAATGTATTTAATATTATTAGTGAAATGGGCTCATTTATTTTAAGTTGATTTTCAAAAGTCTGTGATTTTGAGTAAGGTCTGTTGGTATTTAACTAGGACTAGTTATTTTGTACAATTAAAAGACTGTATACAACGAGACAGCGAAAAAACTTTACTGCACTAGCATTTGCAAAGCTACTGCTCATTGAACAAAGCATCATGCCTCATAATGGTAGTACATGCAGTTATCCATAACCATAAGCTCTACTGCACAATGGTAACCATAGAAACCTCAACATAAGCCTTTCCTTAAAAAAATGTTTTCAGTTTAATTAGTTCCTCAATTCAAGCCTCAAAACTGCTTAAGTTTTATTGAAAAAAAGTAGGAAAACATATCTCTTAGATTTATTAGTGAAAAGTTCTCAATATTTTCTATATAAAACTGAACCGCAATTTCTTTAATAAAATACACATACTATTTTTAATTATCACCTTAATTTTTTAAATGAAAATTAAAGACCCATGATTAATTTTTTACCAAAAGATGGCTGTTAGAGTTGTAATAATAAAAAAAATTATAATAATCCTGTTCTCTTCCACTTGCTAAATGTATGCAATACATGTGTGCCATAAATATTTAAAATATATTTGTTAAGAGCTGGGACAACATGAGCATATGTTATTACATGTGCATGACTACGTGTCTCAGCACGTATACAAACCACATTTCAATATGATATTTATCAGTTGTTTACAGTGATTATCTGGGTTAAAACATTTAGTTCACCTACAATACACATTACAGTATGTTTCTGTGAAATACTTTGTTTTCTTCACCAAGTTGATCTATAAATATTGATCTTTGCCAAACAGGTGGAACTGTGGATGAATGAATGATATGGATGAATCGGTTTAGTTTACAGTCAGCTTTGACAGATAAGCATCCAATGATATCATGCCCAGCTCTCAGATTCATATCATTGGCATGAGCTCAAAATGAAAATAGCAGCATTTTTACACTTTAAACTACAGGATGAGGGTGTTCTCACGTACGCCATCACGGGTTGTCTGGAGTTTGAACTCTGCACAGCAATGTCCTGTCAGAGTTGCAATTCTAAGAAGAAGCAATTGGGCAAGGCAGCATTTCAGCTGTTTAACTGTTGATACACATTCAGTTCAATTTATATGGCACTTTCAACTCTTAAAGGAATAGTTCACCCAAAAAAAAGAACATTTACTCACCCTCAGGCCATAAATTTAGAGAAATTTACCATTTCATCACTTGCTCACCAATGGATCCTCTGTAGTGAATGGGTGCCGTCAGAATGAGAGTCCAAACTGCTGGACAATTAAAAAAAAATAAAAACAATTAACGTCTTGTGAAGTGAAAAGCTGCATGTTTGTAAGAAACAAATCCATCAAGACATTTTAACTTCAAACCACTGCTTCCGTCTAAAATCAGGAGGGAAACATGCACAGATCCAGCACTGTTTACAAGCAAAAACAGTTCAAAACTTTTCTAAAAAAAAAAATATGTTGGTGGATTTTGATGTGAGAGTGACAGGTTTACAGATAAAATGCCTTGATAAATTTATTACAAACACACAGCTTTTCACTTCACAAGACGTTAATTGATGGACTGCAGTCGTGTGGATTACATGTGGACTTTTTATCAGCTGTTTGGACTCTCATTCTGACGGCACCCATTCACTGCAGAGGATCTGTGGATGAGTAAGGTATGTAATTCAAAATTTCTCCAAATCTGTTCCGATGAAGAAACAAATTCATCTACATCTTGGATGGCCTGAGAGTACATGTTTAGTAAATTTTCTTTTTTTTGGGTGACCTATTCCTTTAAAGATAAACACAAATCAGGAAAGACATTGACTACGTTTACATGGACATCAGTATTCATCTAATTATTTACCTTATTCTAAATAAGCCAATATTATGATTATGGTGTTTACATTAGTTGCTTTTAGAATATTCCTTTCATGTTCCCGTTTTACATGTTATAGTACATAATTCGATTACACGTCATTTCGTCCCCACGTGACGCCATCCGACGTCCCCTCCGGAATTTCACGTATAAACATATAGTTCGTCTTCGCAATGATGCCATGTACAGTTTTGGATGTTTCATTTTTAATTTTATGAAAGCTTCAAGTGCAGTTAATTATTTGTACATGCATACAGACGACGGCAGGTGTTGAAGCTCTTTTATTTGCCATCAATCAAAAATATCTGTTTACATGGTAGATTCTTAATCGGAATATTGTCTTCATCGTATTAAAATCAGAGTATTGTTGTCCATGTAAACGTGCTAGTGTTATTCTGACCCAAACAAAAATCAGGTGCAGGCTTGACTGCATGCATTACAGGTGCATCTCAATAAATTCGTGGAAAAGTTCATTTATTTCAGTAATTCAACTCAAATTGTTGGAGTATTCTAATTTGTTGAGATAGTGAGTTGGTGGGTTTTTGTTAAATGTGAGCCAAAATCATCACAATTAAAAGAACCAAAGACTTAAACTACTTCAGTCTGTGTGCATTGAATTTATTTAATACACGAGTTTCACAATTTGAGTTGAATTACTGAAATAAATGAACTTTTCCACGACATTCTAATTTATTGAGATGCACCTGTATCTTAAATACAAAACAGTTGTAAAAGCATTTCATGCACATTACCCATGGAAAATCTGAGGTGAACTGATGCATGTTGTAACATCTGAATTTACATCACAACATCATATCATATTCCATTGTGCAACATGTGAGTTCCCTCTGACCTTTCTGTCTGTAGAAACCAAAGCAAACAGATAGCTGTCATTTGGGTCAGTACAAACAGTCATGTCTGTGATATGGCTTTAATTATTTCCATGCTATTTTTAGCAAATCAACATGCATTCTGTGGTGTTGCAAGCCATTTTAGAGCCACGTCACATTTAACCCCTTGTGCATGGCACAGTGAGATCTAGAGAAAAAGAATGATTAACATAACTGTAATAGGAAGTGAAAATAGACTTCCAGTTAACATACAAATATGATTAAACACAGTTGAGATTTGATGATAAGCTAACTAACTGGGTTGTGTGTATTTGAAGGTGAATGACTGGCAAAGCTTCTGAGAAAAATCAGAATTTTTTCACTTTTAAAACAAGTTATGATAAAAAAAAGAAGACGACATATTTAAGATGCTGCATTATTTCTAGGTTAAAAAATGTGTTGCTCATCTTGGTATAAACGAACTTTGTACAGAAGGTCAGATTTTCTTAATCTTTAATAATAATAAAAATACATTATTATTAGTAGTATTATTATTAATTAATTATTATTATTATAACTATTTTTAATGGCTCAGTGACACTTACTGACACGTTAGCATTACATGAATGACTAATGCTGACAAGTAGCTATTAGAAATAACAAGAAAAATCAGATTTGTAAAATTTAAATATGGAAATATTTTTTTGCTTGTTTGTTTTGAACTTTTAAGTTATGATACAAAACAAATAAATAAACTGCACTTTTTCTAGGTTTTAAAAATGTGTCACATGATCATGTGAACATTGTAAAAATGGTCAGATTATTATTGTTATTATTATTATGTAAAAACAACACAAACAACAGCAACATAAATAAAGTATTATTATTACAACAGCATTTTAATGGCTCAGTGACACTTACTGATATTTATGCATTACATGAGTGTTATTGTTTTTGACATTCACATTATGCTTTTCCTTCAAGGACATACGTAATTATCTTTCATCAGTGAACATCTGTAAATGCATTTTATGATTTCTTTCTTTTTTTAAGTTAATATTTAAAACATAGTTAAGCCATGATTAGGCTAAAGAAGAAATATTTAAGATTCTACACTATTTCTAGGTAAAAAAAAATGAAGGCAAATCAAATTTGTGCATATGGTCAGATTTTCCTAATAATAATAATATACATTTTTATTAATTAATTACTATTATAACAGCATTTTTAATTGGCTCAATGACACATGACTATGCATCATGACAAGGAGTTATGACTGTTATTGACATTGATGCTTTTCTCTCCAGGACATATAAGAAGTAATTATCCTTTGACACATGTGATGGTGTTCACGTACTCAGACTCTCCTCTTTCATCTGATATCAAGTGCGCGCTCGGCACTTCTGCTGCACTCGACTCGATGGCAGAATATCAAGGAAATCTGGCCGCTGAACAGACCTCTGAAGACCAAACCATCAGAAATGATGCACCGCACAGGTGTCCAGATGAAACTATGGATGCATGGAGCTGCCCAGAGAGCTCAGGAAGCCCCGCAGTAACCGGGCAAAATCTAAAGAACACAAACGACTAAACAAACACAAACTAGTCTTGCAATACGTAGTCCCGTGCATGAACTCCATACGGTTTGTGTATAGTTGATCATTTTCTAGGGGACAGAATCGGAGAGCGCATTGTGCAGGAGGTGAGGCGCATTCATCAGAGTGGCAACATGCAGGATTGACAGTTAGTGAGCCAAAAACTAAACAAAAGCAAAGCTATTCGAGGGGACAAGATTGCATGGGTCGATGGCACCGAAAGCGGCTGCCAAAACATTGGCTATCTGCTGACCCTAATGGACAAGCTCATCACGTGCGCAGACGGCAAACTGGACAAGTTCAAAATCAGAGGAAGACAGTGAGTGTTGCTCATGCACTTTACCTCATTGAGCTGCTCCTAAAGTTTCCTAAGCATCCAAACATGTAGAGCTTAAAACAATCTGTATGCTTAATTAATAGGCCTATATGATGCATGCAGTTGCACAAGCAATTCGTCGTAAAAAAAAAAAAACAGTTCTAAAAGTGTTGCAATGCAAAGTTTTGAAGATGACCATAAAAGATGCACGTGTAACCTGTTTGTATTTGTAAGTCTATAAAAAAGCATTAAGAGCTCCTTTACTTAAGTATACTTACTAAAATAAACTTGAAGTATACTACTTTTTGGTAAGGAGAAGAGCTGTGTTTTACACTTCTTGAAGTGAAGCGTAAATGCGGCTCTTCGGATCCTCAATGGCGGTGGCATGACTATAATATGAGCTCATAGATGTCACGTACAATGTCACATACTCTAATTACAAGACACGTTCATTGAGATAAAAGCATTGGTGATCTCATTTACATTATTTTAATATTTTTCCTTCATCATGAATTGTTTGGCATGTGAAGCATGCATGAGACCAGTCTCGCATCTCTTGCTGTGATCTGACCCGGCTGGGCATTACGGACTGTAAATCGGCACAGTTGGGTTGAACTCGTAGAAATACAACACGACGGTAGAATGGTAGAATGGCATGAATGCAGGAATCCGTTGTCTTAAATGGGCGGGGCTTACCGACCTGGAGGATGTCACGTAGGCTACGAAATATAGGAGCAAAAATGCATTAAAAAAAATAAAAAAAATAATAAAATTTGCAGAGTAAACACATAAATAAATTAATGATTAAATGCATCATATGTATTTTAATTTTCAATTTAAAGTTAACATTTTGTCAATATACTTGATTTTTTAAAAAATAATTTGTTTCTTATAATCATGTATTAAATATAAAAAGTACAAATATTTGTTAAATAATTGTTTTTATTTGCATTTACATGTTTAAAAAGCGACTTACAATAGACGAACATTAGCAATTCATCACAGAGCCAAACAATATTTTTTTTGTTTCTATAATTGTTATATTATTTTAGTTTCTATTTACATTACATTTTAAAAAAGTGACTTAGCCTATAAAAGACAAACATTAGTAATTCGTCACAGAACCAAACAATATTTGTTTCTATAACGTTTACTCTTTTATTTGTAATTAATTTTAATTATTTTACTTAATTTATTTACATTTACATTTTTAAAAAATGACGTACAAAAGACGAACATTAGTAACTCGTCACAGAGCCAAACAATATTCGTTTATATATAGAAACAATATAGAAACAAATACAAACATGATTTGTTTCTATTTTATTTAATATATATATATATATTTATTTATTTACATTTACATTTTTTTTAAAAGCGACTTACAATAGACGAATATTAGCAATTCGTCACAGAACCAAACAATATTTGTTTCTATTTTATTTTTTTATTAACATATATTTTTATTTACATTAAAAAAATTTTTTTTTTCAAAAAGCGGCAAAAACAATTCATCACAGAGCAAACATTTCAAGGGTCACTTTACCCTTATTGGTTTATCAAAGAATGCGTAATATTAACACCTCACCATGTAGGCTATTTCCATTTCAATGGATAAAGTATCTCAGTGTCACTATTCATATGTAAATGATTTTTCAGACCACTTCTGAAGTAGCACGTAGGCGGCGATATCACGTGATAGGAACCCGTTCTTTTTCTCAGCGTTGTTCAGGATGGCTCAATCATAGTCGTTGATAATTTAAACATTTCATAGCGATTTCAGAGGACAGTTGCCATTTGTTTGTAAGGTTCCAATCAAAAATAATTTACTTTAAAGTATACAAGTGTCTCCAGTAAGACAAAAAATATCCTGCGATTTGAACCCGGCTGAATGGAGGATTCGGTTTTCTGAGCCGCCAAGCGCCCCCTATAGAAAGATGACTTATGGGTTACAGTAAACATGCATTGTCCAGCCCTTAATTGTTGAACGTACACGCACTGAATGGGGGTTTCACATGAATATCCGCCCACTGAAGCGCGACACACATTCTGCACGTTCCACACTCGCCGCAGGTGCGCTGCGCTCGGATCCTCTGGCGCTCATGGACCCTCACACAGAGCGATTATAAAGCCCACCTGCAGCCCCCGTCTGCTGCCTGTGGCATTCTTTACCCGTCTCTTGAGGGACGATCCCGTGGCATTAGATATTAGGCTACTTTGGAAAAACTTTCGTTAATTTGAACGCAACGAGCTCAAGACAAAATGCCATTTCTTCAGCACGCACTGGACTCGCAGTTGGAGAGTTTGGCTTTAGAGCAAGTGGTTCCGGCTCTGTTGGACCGAGGCTTTTTTTACGTGGATCATTTTCTGGGGGACATCGCGGGCCACATGGTTCTGGGTCAGGTCAAACGCATGCATTCCTGTGGGCTTCTCAACGACGGTCAGCTGGCCAGAAGAAGCCATGGAGTTTGCAGGAGAAGCATCAGAGGAGATCAAATCACATGGGTTAACGGGACCGAGATTGGCACGGAGGCTGTCAATTTCTTATTAACACTCATAGACAAACTTATTTCTCTGTGTGTGGGTCGACTGGGCAAAAGTATTCGTGCAAGGTCAAAGGTAAGCTTTATTGCACTTCGAAGTGCTAAGAATGTATCGAATGAGTCACGTAGCCTAATTAATTGATGAAACGTTTTTATAGTAGCCTAACTTTAATTAATAACACTAACAACTTGATACAATTCTCATCAGATCATAAATGTATTTTCAGTTAGAAGTGTTATGAAACTTTGATTCATATTTCATATTTACTTATGAAAATATATCAAGCATTAAAATCTTTGCTAACGACTTATTTAATTTAATAATAATAGTATTACAGTTATATATATATACACACATACACTGCTGTTCAAAAGTTTGGGATCTTCTTAACAATTTAACAAATCCTTGTTGAATAAAAGTTTTAATTTCTTTCAAAAAAAGAAAGAATAAAAATTTACTGACCCTAAACTTTTGAACTGTAGTGTATATTGTTAGAAAATATTTCTATTTTAAATAAATGCTCTTCTTTTTAACTTTTTATTCCTCAAGAATCCTGAAAAAAAGTATCACAGGTTCCAAAAAAAATATTAAACATTTTCCAGCACTGATAATAAATCAGTATTAGAATGATTTCTGAAGATCATGTGACACTGAAGACTGGAGTAATGATGCTGAAAATTCAGCTTTGCATCACAGGAATAAATTAGATTTGAATGTATATTAAAATAGAAAAACATTATTTTACATCATAATAATATTTCACAATATGACTTTTTTTCCTGCATTTTTCATCAAATAAATACAGCCTTGATGAGCATAAGGAAATCCTGTAAAAAACATAAAAAATCGTTCTGATCTCATATATGCATGCTACAGTTCAAAGGTTTGGGGTCAGTAAGGTTTTAAAAAAAAATTACATTTGAAATGAACTGTTTTCTATTTGAATATATTTTAAAACATGATTTATTTCTGTGATGCAAAGCTGAATTTTCAGCAGCTATTACTGCGTCTTCAGTGTCACATGATCCTTCAGAAATCATTCTAATATGCTAAGTTGTTGCTTAAGAAACATTATGATCAATGTTAAAAAGTTGTGCTGCTTTTTTTCTGTGTAAACCGTAATATTTTTTTTTCAAGATTCTTTTAAAAGTTTAAAAGAACAGCATTTACTTGAAATAGAAATCTTTTGTAAGATTATAAATGTCTTTACTTGAACTTTCAATCAGTTTAAAGCATCCTTGCTAAATAAAATGATAAAACTCTTAAAAATCTTACTGACCCAAACGTTTTGAAACGGTAGTGTATAGCCTACACAAGTGTACATGATGAACATTACATTACAACTTGTTGATTATTTTATGTGTTTTTTAATGATTTCAGAGTACTTTATTTGTTCATCTGGGTGAATACAGGTTCTCACTCCATTAAGCATTAGTTTCTGTCTTTGTTTGGCTCTTTGTTTAGAGCAGTTACAGTAGAGTGATTCGGCACACAGTCTTTACTGTGCCTGGTGATGAATGGCAGAGATAGGCTTTCAGTTTCTGCTGTTGCGAACACTACGTGACTCCTCTCACTGCACTGCTGTACTCTGGGTTACAGGAGGCCCTTAGTGAAGAAACAGGATGTTCAAGAGCCACTTGCGGACACAAGTGTTTTACTTGCTTTAAAAAGTCAAGAAACTGGCTATTTTCTAGTTTTGTTTGTCTCGCTTTTCTCTTATTTTGTAGTCTACTGAATGAAAGTAAAACATGCGATTTTTCATAAAGAGGCAATATTCTGTTTTAAACTAATTGTTTTTTAATGAGTCAGCAGGTAGCAGTTAAGTTTTCACAAAAGAGATGAGTTTTTAGTTGTTTTATAAACATTGTCAAGGATTCAGATAGCCGAATATAAGCAAATACATTGAATATTCTTTTAATATAAGCTCAAATATTCTTTGTTGCTCTAAAACACTTTTTTTTGTCTGTCATCTGTTCCAAAACCTTACTGACGTCATAATCCCTATTAACAAAATGACAGCCTTGATAGTAAAAAAATAAAAAAGGAAAAATAAGCACTTCAGAATAAAATGCATTAAACAGGGTTTAATAAATTTATTGTTTTAGTGCAATTATTATTCTTATAAAGAGTATTAACATTTCTTAAATCAGTGTTTTGAAATGGTTAAGTGTGCTGAATCAGAGCTCTGGATTGTGTACGCTATGCTGGTTGGCCGTCGCAGCTGAAGTCTGTGTGGTGCTGTAGACTCACGCTCAACACGTAGCACTGTCATTAAACCCTCAGCGCACTGGCTGCTGGCCAAGCTTGCTCTCTTTAGCCACGCATGTACACACACACTCACGCACGCACACACTTCCTCCTGCATGTTTACACTGCGCTATGACGGCAAACTTGCGTATGTACTCTTGTTGTGGGAACGTGATCATGATAAAGACTCGTCTGCAGAAATGTAAACATGGGCACCGGTGACTGTTACCCCCACTATGTGAGGGTTGGGAGGGGTTAACCGGGATCTGCTGAGAAGAGAAATAAAGTGCTTTGTTTTGAACATTATAATAGTATTTTGTAATAGTAGATCTGAGATTTTGTATTAATAATCATACCAAGATGGAGCCGATGCTTTAGGCCTACTTTAAAGGTGACATATCATGAAAATCGGTTTTAAGTGCTATAACCGGGTCCCCGGCGCATCTACCAACCCAGGAAACGTGAAAAAGATTAACCCAGTAACTTTGTTTTGGTACGCCTTTTTCTGCAAGAGTCTGAAAAACCAAGCGCATCATATTTCGCTCCCTTTGTGACGTGGCAAAGGGATCTTATTATAATATCACTCGCGTTGACGGTGCTGCCATTCTGTTTTCGCAAGCTACAACGGCATACCAGTTCTAATGCCATGGCTAAAGTTCGAGCAAAGCATGCGAACTGTTCTATCGTTAGCTGCACAGACGAGCACAGACCACTATTTAGAGTCCCAGCCTCAGAGGAGAAAAGAGAGCAGTGGATTTATTTATTTACCGTATATGTTTTATTAACTACTGAAACAAAACTTTAGAAACCATTTCAGGTTTAAAGTAAACTTTATTTTTAGACAAACATTTGAAATTAGAGGAACTTTTTCAGTTCTGCGTAAAATGTCTTGGCACTAAAACAAATTAGATTAGAAATATATTAATTTGATGATAGTAAAGCTGTGAGCAGAATGTCCATATAGACAATTAGATTTGTCATAACATTTACAAATGACTCTTTTAAGCGCACTTTGTTGTTGTGTAGTCTGGTAGAACACTTTTTTGTAACTTTTGTAAACTTTACAAACTTAAAGGGTTAGTTCGAAGTCATATACACCTAGGATGCCTCGGGGGTGAGTAAAACGCAGCCTAATTTTAATTTTGAGGTGAACTAACCCTTTAATTCTTGTTACTTGTTCAAGAGGAGAAATGCCTTAAGAAATTTCTCTTGTCAATAATTTGTAGCAAGACTTAGAGTATAAACTTATAAGTATGACATATATATTTTTTTAAATGACAATCAATCATTATGTTTACCTGGAAATAGGCTTTTCTGGGATACGATGTAAAGTAAACTATCTATCAAGCTTAGTTTCACGTGTCTTCTTTTTCAGGCGATGGTGGCTTGTTATCCAGGAAATGGAGCAGGATATGTGAAACATGTAGATAACCCTAATGCAGACGGCCGCTGCGTCACCTGTATTTACTATCTGAATAAAAACTGGAATGCCAAGGTAGACTTTTCAGTAGTTTATTTCAAATGTCATTTCCAAAATATTTATTGCTCACTGTTAATTAATCAAATGTCACTGTATGTTTTTAGGAGCATGGCGGATTGCTAAGGATATTTCCTGAAGGAAAACCTTACGTAGCCGACATCGAGCCTTTGTTTGATCGACTTCTGATTTTCTGGTCAGATCGTAGAAACCCTCATGAAGTTCAACCGTCGTATGCTACAAGGTTAGTATTAGCTTTCATGTTATAGAACTATATGTCAATATGATTTCATGGCATCTTTGCTAAAGTGTGTTTTGTGCCACAGGTATGCAATCACTGTGTGGTACTTTGATTCAGAGGAAAGAGCTGAAGCAAAAAGAAAATTTAGAGATCTGACAGGTTGGTTCAGCCAAAATCATCAGTATCAGTGTGTTTTTTTTTTTAAGTCTAATTCTAAATATCTAATTGTTTATACCTTTATATTTCAGCCAACTCACAGGAGGGTTCATCATCTTAACAGAAATACACTGGCCTGTCACCTCAGAGAGGATTTCTTTTGTCTACCGTCTTATTTCTTAGCTTTTTTTTTTTCTATTTTTACATTGCTTGTTGCACTAATGGTACCTCTCCCCCCACTTTGTATTTGTGATTTACTACGTTTGAATCCGGTTCTTCAAATAAGTGAAGAGTCGTTTGAGTAACCCGCTGCTAATGTAAAGACAATTTTGTGAAAAATGTGAGAATATTAATACTGATTAATGGATTATTAGATGTTTATTATAATTAGTCTTTTAAACAAACTTTTCAGAGCTATATTGTCTAGATGTGTTAAAAGAAAATGAAAAAGGAATAGATAAGAAGCATGCATATATATATATAAAACACTAGTTATTGTTTGTTTCAGAAATATGTCAACAAGCATTATAAATATTTTCTTTTATATGCTGTTATTTGCTGTTTTGGCACATATTTTATCGTTCTTTGTTAAATGAACACTTCATTAGAAAGGAAATTTGAAACTTGTCAGTGGACTTGAAGTTGTGTATATATAGAGGCTTTATTATTTTTGAACGGCAGTTTGATGTTGAATGGAGACTCTTTCAAATAGAGATGTTTATAAAAGACATTCTGTACTGTGTTCACAAACCTTTAAAAAGCACTTGGTCAGATGATATTGCTTTATTTGTTCAGTCCTTGTGTGGGTTAGTGTTTAATGAGAGAATTGAATCCGCTTGCATGCAGGTCAGCAATGCTGCTCAACCACACCCTCGGATCAATATTATTTGACAGTTGTTTCATAACATTTTGAGCTTCATAAAATGTTTCTTTAACAAAAGTTGTTCTGGAAAAAAATCTTGAAACGTGTGAACAGGTTGGTTCATGTACTGTACACAAATTGAGATTTACAACGATTTGAAATGGCCAATTAAACAATGTGTTAAAATGTTTTCAATTGTCCCATTGTTTATATTACATTGTTGCTTTTTTCAGTAATAAAGTTTTTCCTTTGGCCTTAATTTACCACTAGGTGTCGCTGTGTCCCCATTGTGCTGTTTTATTTAGCGTAGATGTGTAGGCTACTATTGATATTTACCAGCCATTTTATCAAATTTTTATTTATCACGTAAACGCATACAGATAAAATAACTAAATACACAGTTTCTTTTTGGGTCTAAATGTTTATAGTTTTTTTTTGCTCTATCCTTAATGGTTATCTTTTTTTTATTAAAAAAAAGATGAAAATATACAAACACTTTCAGGAAAACATTAAGAAGCATTAAAAAAAATCAACGAAGGGAGAAATCATCATCCTTAATGGTTATCTCTATCTCGCGCATAACAGACGGTGACGTATAATACGTATAAAGCTCCGCCCTTTTCCACAATTGGCGCCGAAAGACAGTTAATTAGCCAAACATCACTCACAAAAGTGATTTAGCGACAACGCTGTAATAAAACTGTCCTCCATTACTGTGAACTGTGTGGAAACATGAAGGAGCATCTCACTATAAGAGAAGGTAGGAGCAATAATCGTTCATATTTCCACCGTAGTTCTGGTGTAACCGTAGTTTAACTGTGGTGTAATTACCACACAACTAATGCATTCACCTCATTAACAATGGTTAGATCACTGCAAACGCGATTTCTATAAAATTAAGTCTTTATGAAACCAATAGGCCAAATATAACTACAACTGTAGCTAAATTTCCCAGTAGAAAACTGCATGTAAAACATGAGAAAGAATGCCTAAATATACAGTATATAAGTGGTAAAGTCCTTTAAAATATGAAATATATTAAATAAAGTGAACATTGTCCTGCCACACTTGTGTAACGAGTTATAGTGAATACAATTTGAATGTAACACATTGCTTTTTCACTAAAATCCTTTTTATTGTATTACAGATTTATTTGTTATTGTATTATTGATTTATTTCTGTTTTTCTTTGAGCAATATTTGTGATTCTGCTGTTCACTGTTTTAGAGACTTTTATTTTGAAAACTTCTCCTGGCGCTCTATTGACGCCATTTTCAAGTGAGTGCGCGCTTCTCTTCAGTTCGCATTGTATATGCTGGGGAGAGGTAAGCGTTTGTCAGAGCTCTTCATTTTATAAGTGAATTAAGTTTGCAAAGTGTATAAATCGACTAAATATTATATTGTAAATGGTACTGAGACTATATGCAGTGTTCTGTTATAAGTTTTATGCGCGAGTGGATTAAGAATGTGAAGTTATATCGTGTGGGCCGTTTTGAGTCATTAATTAGCTAACAAATATTATATCATACAGGAATGTCTTTATGGAATGCCCAAGAAAGAGAGATATGAACTCTATTCATGTTAATCCACAGGTATTTCACTCTTATTGTTTGTTTTCTTCTTTTTATATTCTTGTACTGTGTTAATACTACAATGTTTCAGTGTCTCAATTGTTGCACAAAGTGAGTTCGCATTGTATATGCTGGGGAGAGGAATGTCTTTATGGAATGCCCAAGAAAGAGAGATATGAACTCTATTCATGTTAATCCACAGACGGAGTGAAGTTAATGCTGGGCGTGGCTGTCAATAAATCCCCTTTTGGTGAACAGAAGTGAAAGTGTCCTGGGTCTTCTTACACACAACGCAGATGATGGTAACAGCGGTCAGCAACAGACCGGTTACACTTGCATTTAGTTGTTAGAAGGATTTTAAAAAGTGATTAAGTCTATGAAAATCTGAGACTTACGGGAGATCCTGGCTTTCACAAAAGTTCTCATAGCAGAAGTATATAACGTTACAGAAGATCCCTGTTGAAACAAAAGAGCTCCACAGACGTTATTACTGACTGTAACCTCTAGATGTCACTCTTGCCGTACTGTGGATTTCACAGCTCGAAAGAAAAGCTTCTGCGGTAGTAAGATCTCACTGACTTAAAAATCAAATGCCTCCTCAGAAACATAAATCTTGTATGCAAGTACTCTCACATCTAATATGTAAAGTAATATAACACGAAAACCTCTATCCATCCATCCATCCATCTATCCATCTATCTATCTATCCGTGCCTGTCATTTTTTTATGCCTTTGATCAAACGCAGGTGTTAAATTGCTTTGAACAGTAGATGAATAGACCTCAGTAGATGTGAAACAATTCATATCTCATATTCATATAGGTGTTGAAGGTTTCTATGTACCTGTAGCTGCCCTAATGAGAGGCGCTTTGCTATTTAAACACACTCTGATTTCCAATAAGAACTGTATAGGGGAGATGGACAGCTCCTAATCATTAGGGAGGATTCAGGTTTGGGCTTTTTCACCTCCTCCTCCTCCCTAAATACACAGTTTCTTTTTGGGTCTAAATGTTTATAGTTTTTTTTTGCTCTATCCTTAATGGTTATCTTTTTTTTATTAAAAAAAAGATGAAAATATACAAACACTTTCAGGAAAACATTAAGAAGCATTAAAAAAAATCAACGAAGGGAGAAATCATCATCCTTAATGGTTATCTCTATCTCGCGCATAACAGACGGTGACGTATAATACGTATAAAGCTCCGCCCTTTTCCACAATTGGCGCCGAAAGACAGTTAATTAGCCAAACATCACTCACAAAAGTGATTTAGCGACAACGCTGTAATAAAACTGTCCTCCATTACTGTGAACTGTGTGGAAACATGAAGGAGCATCTCACTATAAGAGAAGGTAGGAGCAATAATCGTTCATATTTCCACCGTAGTTCTGGTGTAACCGTAGTTTAACTGTGGTGTAATTACCACACAACTAATGCATTCACCTCATTAACAATGGTTAGATCACTGCAAACGCGATTTCTATAAAATTAAGTCTTTATGAAACCAATAGGCCAAATATAACTACAACTGTAGCTAAATTTCCCAGTAGAAAACTGCATGTAAAACATGAGAAAGAATGCCTAAATATACAGTATATAAGTGGTAAAGTCCTTTAAAATATGAAATATATTAAATAAAGTGAACATTGTCCTGCCACACTTGCATTTAGTTGTTAGAAGGATTTTAAAAAGTGATTACGTCTATGAAAATCTGAGACTTATGGGAGATCCTGGCTTTCACAAAAGTTCTCATCGCAGAAGTATATAACGTTACAGAAGATCCCTGTTGAAACAAAAGAGCTCCACAGACGTTATTACTGACTGTAACCTCTAGATGTCACTCTTGCCGTACTGTGGATTTCACAGCTCAGGGGAAAAGCTTCTGCGGTAGTAAGATCTCACTGACTTAAAAATCAAATGCCTCCTCAGAAACATAAATCTTGTATGCAAGTACTCTCACATCTAATATGTAAAGTAATATAACACGAAAACCTCTATCCATCCATCCATCCATCTATCCATCTATCTATCTATCCGTGCCTGTCATTTTTTTATGCCTTTGATCAAACTTGCCGTAGGAAGTTACAGTGAGATCAGTATAATAGAAGACACAGATTGAAATATTCCTGCTAATTGAAAACCTGGTGAGGATACCATGAGGTGAAAAAAAACATGTCAGAAATACCCGTGAGATTCTGTCCAACGTAAAGTAGATTCACTTAGCCACTGCTAAAACATGTAAAAAATAAAGGCCCTGGTACAAGTGCACTGGACTGCCATTCATTGTATGTGGAAGCAAAAGTTAGCAGTGCTACATGGGAATATTTTGATAATCCCTTACCTGAAACCTGTAGGTAACTAAAAAAGGCTACATTAACCAAAACTAAAGACCGGGAGAAAAACATAGGAGGGAAAGAACGAACATAAAGAAGCAGGAAAGTAGAAACGCAAAGAATAATCACTGATGTTCGGCATTCACTTATGATGAACAGAATGTAAAAGAAATGATGCCAGATAGTAACAAATCCAATAAAAGTTTATTATGAATATGGCACCTGTAAGATGGTAAAAAAACTGTGTTACAGAAAGACAACCATGTATGACATGTTGCTTTAACTGATGAAAACCTACAAAAGTATAAAATAACCCTGTTGTAAAATGACGTATGTACATTTTTGAATTGCAGCATTATTTATGGCACCTGTAAGATGGTAAAAAAACTGTGTTACAGAAAGACAACCATGTATGACATGTTGCTTTAACTGATGAAAACCTACAAAAGTATAAAATAACCCTGTTGTAAAATGAAGTATGTACATTTTTGAATTGCAGCATTATTTATGGTAAATGAACAAAAAATGTGTTTCCAAAAAAATAAGCCAGGCACTCAAAGTTAGCTTCAGTTAGTTGTTTTTTGTCTTTTTTTTTCTCTGAAAACAAAAAACAAAACCAAAATGTACCATAGTTTTCTCTTTTTAATATTTTAATTTGTTTGTACTTAGAATTTATAACACTGTTAACACTGATACTAAGAGAATCCCCTTTCTCCCATATTCTTCTACTTGGCACCAAGTTCCTCATAAAAGAATCTGTATAATTGTACAAGAAATAGTTAAAAACACAGACACAGTCTTCACAGGTAATGAAGTGATTTCTCATATTGTAATTTTAAACACTATTTATCTGACAGCAGCTGAGATTAGTTTAAGATTAAATCACCAGCAATCATTTTGACACAACACAGATACATTGAGACAGCTCGACCGGCTGTTCTGTTAGTAACATATGGGTGTATTTCCTGGTCCACAGTTGTCTGTTTTTGGAGCTGCCCCCAAACCCCGTCCCGACCGCTTCTGCTCTACGTACAAAATGCTAAAATCTAGGATCCTGTTAACCTGCAGCGGTGACGCCAAGCTCTCCTGCAACCGTTCCGACAGCGAGTCCCGTTATTGTCATTTTTAAAAACATTAATATCATGACCTGGGTTTGAGTAACAACACGTTTTCACAGAAACCACAGACACAAGTTTCCTGATGTCGGGGGGAAGCCTGATTCAGGTAAAAAGACGAAGGCCTCCCCCTTCCCTTTGCTGGACAGACTAAAAAACACTAAACATCGACAAAGCCGCTGGACCGAACAAAATCAAGTAAACCAAACAATCAACTTAGTAAACATGCATTTCCAAAACACCTATAAAAATAGATTTTATAGTGAGAAATATTTTTTTCATCTCTTTAGAAATCTTTAAAATTGTTTATTGTCCTGAAATACTACCGTCATCTTTTTTTTAAATTTCCTGTGAGTTGCAGGGTCCTTGAAGTCAACAGGCTTGGTGGAAACCAATGAAATACACCCAATGCACAAGACAAGCACAAGGGACTCTGGGAATGTTTCACATCTGAGGCTTTTAAGGTTCCAGTCTACTAAATGCTACTTCCGTTTTTTTATTCCTCATCACATTTGAGCTGGAAACTGCAATCCCAGAATTCCTCAGTGGCAAAAAATGGCTCCTTAAACCTTTGAGCTAGTTTAGAGTCTTTTATCTCTGAGAAGAGAGAGAGGTCTGTAGACTACACGACAGCAAAGCAATAGCAGAAACAGAAAAAAGTAATACATACAAAAAGGAAGCAGCAAAAAAGGTGACACTACATTGGAAGGCCACCACACAAAATCCACTAACCTCCACTGGTTCACTAAGACTGCAAGGGGGCTGGAAGGAGAACAAATGTTTCCCCGTTCAAGCCCGGACTAGCACAGAGAGGACAAAGGACAAAACAGCTACATTAGCTCAGTATATACTGCATATAGTAACACACACTTAAGTTGCTATGGAGACTGACAGCCAATGACACTTACACATTGTACAAGTTTACGGTTATCACACTGCGTAATAGATGACTTGATGGATGGCTGCCAAATGATGAAGTGACAGTTTTCTTCCGTTTTATTACTTTAGTGTTTTTTTTTTTTTAAACATCAAATCACAGTGTTTTAACACCAAACTGTGAGAGTAAAGGTTTTTTTTGGCAACAGTGGATACAAATTAGGAATGTGGATTTTCAAAACACATTTTTTGATTGAAAATGCATGTCCTTATTACAATCTCCATTTGATATGTGATTTTCAGAGAGAGTTAAGGGGTAAGGGATGAAGGGGGACTGATTTCGGAAAGGACACCAGGCTTGTAAGCTAAAGAGGGAGTGTAAACAATCAAGCCAAAAATTAATTAAAAAAAATCCCCAAAACAATTAAGCATAGCTCTGACCAAAGCCTGTTTGGAGTTTAACATTCATCTTGAAGTTTATGATGTAAAATTAGCCTCCGTTGCAAAAAAACGTTTCTGTATCCCTTTCCAGACTCAATCAGATTGAGTTAAATATTCTCCTGTGTTCACGGGTAGGTGATGAACATAATAAACAAAAAACAAACTGAAAAAAAATAAAAAATCTGTTAGAGGTTTGACTTTTCTGTGGAAAAGCTCTGAAGCCGCCATTTGTTTGGAGTTCCGGAACAGTACCTACATCAGCCAGCTGAGTGAGGGTAACTCAATGATAGCACCATGGATCTGCAAACAGAAGATGGAACTGGAAAAATCTCACACTGACCTGTTCCATGTCCTGGGATTTTATAGTAACATTCTATTCACAGGTCAATACCCGGCTAAAATTGCTTTTTTAAAATGCATGATTTGCAAGTTAAGTTGAGCTATAAAAAACGAAGAAAAAGCATTATTTCTAAAATACTATTCCCCCTTTAGAAAGAACCGCAAAACCCTTTGAACTACATCAAACAGGGTAACATCCTTTTGTCAGCATCAATCTTGATTACACCAAGA